GAGAGAGAGAGAGAGAGAGAGAGAGAGAGAGAGAGAGAGAGAGAGAGCGAAAAGTCTATGGTTAATAAGTGGTTCTTCCTTTTAGATTCAGTTGAACTATAACATTACATTCACTCATTTAGCAACTTCATACTCACTGTTAGAGTACTGCCTAAAACAGTCTAATCCATCAGGAACGGTCTCATTCCCTTCAGTTTCGGGGAAACAACAGAACAACCGATACACTGTGGGCTAATTTGCAAACCCACAAGACTGAAACCTGCCTGCTACCATTTGACAGATGCTCCTTGTCTAGCCTGCGGGTGGGATGAAGTGCGAATGCATTCTTAATGTCAACAGCAAGCACCAGTCCTTTGCTCTAAAGCCTGCAGCAGACACATATCACTGTAGCTCTCTCCGTACTGCATGCCCCTTCCCTCCATCACCACAAAGAAATAAAAAGAAAGAGAGGGACTTTGATAGAGCTGAAGAATCGGAAGTTTCTGTTTTGAATTAAACCTCTCCATAGGACATAAAGGACTTTACAAGGATCGTAACATATAGACGGAGGCCTTTACTTAATGTACGCATGGTTCAAAGAACACACTACACAAACGGACTTTGGCTCAAACTAAAGTTTCTGTAGTTATTCTGACTTTGGTTTTCAGTGTTGATGAAGAGATCTGCTGCTCCGTTTCCCCCTCTCGCTAAAAGTTTTGATTCTTGGCAGATGGAAACCAGTGCTCATAAGCTTGATATTCTAAGAATCTTTAGGTCACGTAATGTAAAAATATATATTCAACAGAAAGTGGAGACAGCTTCTTAAAGCCACATTCAACCATTAAAAAGTGTATTTTTGAGTTGTCCTCTGAAATGCATTGATGAGGTGTTTGTGGTGATAACGATAGCACAATGAGGCAAAAGCAAAGATTGTTTTCTGACATGTGGGGGTGTGTTTAATGTAAAAGAACTGATGCATTGGCTTTGGAAGGTGGTGTGAAATTACATTTTACTGTTGTTGCACTGACTCAAAAACCCTGGAGCCTTGTTTCTGTATCTGTGTCACATATTTAATCCGCTCTACATGCAACCTAGGGAATTCATGTTGTGTGCCTTTTGTTTATTAACTTTTATTTATGTCACACCACTGTCAAAGTTTGATCCAGAAAATTGCCTTATGCATTTTATTATTATTTTTTTCAGTAGCTAGTATGCTGACATATGCAAAGAATCTGATATACATGAAGGACACAAAATAAGGCAGGGTGCACGTGCACTACCTCCAGGCATCTTTTCTTTGTCTCCATATGCTGTTATATAGTTTCTATATTTATTCCATACCTCCTATTATTCATTTATTTTACTTTCTCTATGTGCCTGTACTATGCTAAATAAATACAGGTTGATCTAACTTTGTCATTTGGTATCATTCTAAGAAATACTCAATATGTTCTGAGGGGAATGACGCAGCTGTCATCATTTGGGTTTACTGAAAGAATCAGTTTAAATCAATCAATCAAGTCGATTAATCAATTAAGTTGATTTTTAAGAAGAAGTGTGAGACATAATGTCTGCAGTGGACACCGCTTATCCGAGGGGAACATTTGCTGCTTCTCTCAGTTTGTGTAAACTGAACATCTTTATGTTCTTTCCGCTGCAGGTTTGTGACTCACCACACGTCATTAAGTTGAGGCAGGGCCCATGTGTGATGGCAACAACATACAAGTAGATCTGGGAAAAGCAGTATTTGTCTGAAAACGATGTAAATAATCAGTAAAAACTGTGTGTATGTTTGTGGTTCCTCCACTGCCTCTCAGAATGACAGCAGCTTTAACAGGCTGATCACATCCTTTTCCAACCCTATGTTCTCTTTGTCTGTGTGGCTTATTCGGAGAATCCTAGGCCTTCTTATGGGGCTTGGAGCTAAAGCTCAGCACATAAAAGCATTAACTTGTCCCGATTCAAAAGTGAGACTAGGGGACGGCCTGCTCACACAGGTGATGAGGAGCCGCGCGGCAAGGGCTTGAGGCCACGACCAGGCAAACGCACTGATGATTAAGCCAGTTAGGGCGTGGTGCGAGCCTTGAAGTGGTTAATGGCTTAATTAGTGCCTTTAGAGCCGGAGAGAGAGAGAGAGAGAGAGAGAGAGAGAGAGAGAGAGAGAGAGAGAGAGAAACAAGAAATGAGGGATTGTGCTAAACCCCAGACTGAAGCGAGAAGACAGGAACTCTTACTCACTTGTTCTTTATTGCTTACATATCCATTACAATGAGCAATTTTCTGTCTCAGAAGTACTGTTGAATATTAGCGCCGCTCATGTCACCCATTGAAAAATTGTTGTGGACAAAACGTCACTGTTCATGACTATGATAATGAAATTAAAAGTTGTAGGTTTTTCCCTTTTACATTGTCAATTACAATACTAAAATATCTGCAGTAAAGTGGTCGGCTTTTCCTTTTAAATAGCAAGTTTCATGACAATCACAACACAGCCAATTGTCACTTACAAATACTTTTACAACCAGTACATTTGATGTACTAGTAAAACTAAAATAAACTTAGTTAAACCTGTGAATGTCTTAATGCTGGGTCCAGAAAGTGTGATGAGGGAGGGAAAGGTGGAGTGAACAAAAAGGAAAAGATGGTAAAGTTCCCCAAACAATGAACAGAAAATATGTTTGATTAAAGGTCTACAAATGCTGACCAATACTTGGAGCAGGGGTTGGTAAAACAGGGGGAAAATGAAGACACAAAAGAAAAAGAGCAGGCATAGAGAGACACACATGAGGGGGAGAAAGGAGTAAACCAGTACGACTGTAAAACAGTGAGCAGCAGAGGCTGGCTGTGAAGCTTAAACACACAAGGGAAAGGGGAGGTGGTCGGGGCGAATTAACTTTCAGGACACTCTTGACACCCAGAAGCCAATCAGATTTTCATTAACTGGCAGAGGGACAGGCAAAGCTGGCACAAGCTAATTAACCTCTGGATCTCTCACTGCCAAAGGAACATGGAGGGAAGTTCTGGGATGCCAGGGAAGAGGGGAGGAGAGGGAGACGGGGGATGCCCCCGGGCAGAGGCCTTCGGGTTGGGGAAATGCGAGAGAGTGCAGTAAGGCCGGCCGGAGCTCTAAATATGAAGCGGGGAGAGGAAGGAAGGTGAGATCATGGGAAGTTGGAGGTGGTTAATTGAGATGCGTCCTTCTGGCTGTACACTCAGATTTAAAAGATGTCTTCATGTATCGGCAGGCTACAAAGCTTCTGTGCATGAGTGTGTGTTGGGTGTCTGTAAATGCATGCACATGCATGTATGTGTGTAATGAGCATCTCTGCAAAGAATGGAGGACTGGGAGTCCTGGAAGATGCTGTGAACGATGCAGCGGTTCTGACTTGTTTTAACCAGCTGCAGATCATTTTTCTGAATATATCTTCTAAGGAGGAGACAATCATTTTATAAAACAACAAGCATAAAGACACCAGGGCTGTCACTAACAATTATTTTCATTATCGGTTAATATGCAGATTATTGTTTTAATTAATCATTTGTTAAAAAATGGTGAAAAAATGCCATTGTTCTGTCGGACCAATGGTCCAAAACCAGAAAAGATGTTACATTTATGGTCACATATGACTACAAAAATACTAATATTTACATCTGAGCAGCTGGAACCAGTAAATGTTCTTCATGTTTGCTTGAAAAATGACCAAAAACGCTTATTTATCACAATTGTTGCGATTAATCGAGTTATTGTAGCAGATCTACAAGACACAAAATTGAATAAAGATAATGTCCCTTCAGCCTGCTATAAACTGATATGTCTCTTCCATTACTACTACTACTACATGTTCCTGTGTGTGTGTGTGTGTTTACATGTGTCTTACCATGGAACAGTGCCCGGGTAGAAGAGCTGGGTTCTGCGGGGGAAGAGCTCTTGGAGCGTGAGTTAAAGGGTGATTGTCTGAAGCACTCGTCCAGGAACGAACTGAAACATGACACATAAAACAGTTAACATGGCGACTGAATGAAACACATATTCAAACTATATTGGAAAAATGCAGGATATGACAATACTATTATCATGAGACAAACACAGAGGGTATTACCCACTCACCTGTTTATTCCCACCATGTTACTGTCTTTGTGGTTATTGGCTTTGCTGACTTTTTCTGGAGTAAAAAAAAACAAGAAAACAAAAGATATTAAACACACGCAATACAATACTATATATGTATTTATAATTTACCTTTTCTATTTATTCAATACACTATTCAAATCAGACCCCATAGTAGAAATTTACACAGACAGAGGTTATACTGCAGATGAAGAGCATTGATGGAGGCTCCATGAAAAGCTAGTACAGTTAGTGGACCGCCAGTTAAGAAGCTTCTAGTATTACTTTAAAGTCCACTGTATGATGGACACTACAGATTGCTCTTTCTGTTAATAAATGGATACCAGAATCTTACACATAGTCCATCATACAACAGAGAAACCGACACTATATCCTCCGGATTCCTTGAGGCTTAACTCGGCTGGTAAAGCACAGGTTGGCCGTGCCAGCAGGGGTGTACTAGCCATCTGGAGTAGTGGGAGTCTCTCTGGTGGACCTGCCGACCTGTGAGCCAAAAGTTAGCCTAACAACGCAGATATACAAAAATATATATATATTTTTTTAAATGTGCATGGCTTTTCAGATAAGACAACCCAGATGGCACATGAGTGAGTACGGTTGTGTGGCCAAGGCTTTTTTTGATTGATTGCATTTACTGTACATTGTAAAGATCTACAGAACAGACTTTTGGACACACAGGAAAAGTCTGTTGAAAGCTATTTATCACTGCAAATATTTCATGCTGCTACTTTCAGAGGAATTAGTGCAAAATGTGTGTCCAACTGGTGATTATCAAACCAACCTGTGTCTGACCTGCAATGCAGCGTTTCTTTCCCTCCTCACACATCAACACCTGTGTGGTTCGTCTCGTGCACTTTTTTCTCAACTTCTAGAAACTCAAAAAGGTAGCATAGCAACGCACTGCTCAGAATAATTACAGTGGCATGTCAGAACAATGTGACAGATCAACCATGCTAAATTAAGACATCCACTGACTCTTGCTGTATTTCACAAACACTAATATAAAAAGCCAAAATCAATAATTGCTTGTGTTTTTCCAAAAAAAGCATCTTTGCCTTTGAGACAACTCAACAGCTTTGGCATTGTTCACGCCGAAGATCACACCTGTTTCAGGTTCGTGATTACACATTATGCCAATTATGTTGACGGGCAAGGCAAGTCTAGTTTAAACGGAGGGCATCCAAGTCCACTTCCGTATGCCAGAGATCCACAGTGCCGTTTCTGAGTACACTGAATACTGTACTTGTAACATATTAGCCATCTCCAGTTGCTCCCAGTGATTGAGTCTTAAATACAAAACGTTTTTAAGAGGTTTCTAAGTGGTAATAAAGTGAGAATGTGAAATCAGCTAATGCCATTACTTGACCGGCTGATGTGAGCGAGCGGGCGCACACACACACACACACACACACACACACACAACGGGCTTTCAGTATCAACAGTATCAAGCCGTTAAGACCACTATACACAACGACTGAGGATGGAGCCATACGTGTGAGTTTCAAGGCGATGCATTGAAGTGAATTTCAAAGCTGCAACCATCTCAATGTTCAGAGCGACCTTGCTACTGATGTGTCTCTGAGGTCCTACTGCTCTGGGTAATTCATATTGATTGCTCATTGTGTGACAGCAGTCCACTCTGCTCCAGTACCCCCCTCACATTCAGGCCCAGTTCTAAGGGGGGGGGGGGGGTTGTCGCCGTTGCCAGGCGAGCAGTGCCCTGGCCTCCCTGGGTGGGCATACTGTGGTGGCCCTGCTGCCCTCTCTACCCTCCTTATCCTCTGCTGCACCCCCCCCATAACCCACCACCACCACCCTCTAAACACCCCACTCAGT